TAGTCGTGGATCCTGCAACGCCAGCGTGGGTCTAGCCAAGCTCAGGGGCTCCGAGAGGTCACTTGGTGCAGACCTGAGAGAAACAAACGCTGGGCTGCAGAGCTGACCGACTCTTCTGGTATGAAAATCAAAGTGCAAGTAGCCTTTAATGGCCAACACCACTGTACCTGAGGGCTGCCTCTGTCGCTGGAGCGGAGCGCTGTGGCTCACACGCACAGTGTGTGCAGATCAGGAGAGAGCTCACTGTCACAGAGGGCGATGGTGGGGTGTAGCCCTTCCACTGGGGAGGAAGGAATCAGTATCAAAATCAATAGCTCTTCTTCTCAGGGAAAAGAATTATCTAAGCGGGGAGAAGCGGTTCTCTTGCAGCTGGTTGATTTTGGTAATCCATTATTAATGCTTGAGTTACAGGCCCTGTAGAAGATGCCTGGCACACTCAAAGGTCATCTTGGTATAAGAGCACATCAATTGTTTCCRAACATTTCATTCTGAAGCACCTTTGCTGTGGCTAGGGGAGTTAAAAAGTCACTTTTTGTAAGCCTTTCCCTGTGCTTTCTCTCTGTCAAGACCCCCAAGATGCCTTCCTCCATGCACCATGATGAAAACAGTAATAAGAAAGCAAAAATCAAGGCACATCCCATTCCTCTGAGGCTCCATTTCTGTCATATCTATCTGAGGGATAAAACTATGTTTGGCAGAATTTTGTTTTCCTTGGCGCACTGAGCTTCAAGCATTTCCTTGATGCAGTTGGTTACTGAAGAATATCAGAAGAATCAAGAGTATTATAGACTGGGAAAGAAGCAAAACACTCATTCAAAAGGCAGGAGCCTGAGTTTGGGTGAGGTCACAGTTCAGCCCTTCAGCTGCACAAATTGGCAGCACTGCCAGCACTGGACTAGACTGCTCAGACAGTAGCAAGGTCACCTGGGGGAGGTGCTGAAGAAGAAGAAAGGCATTTAACTGGAAGTGTCTTAGGCTTGATCCAGCTTCAGAACAAAGGTGAGCACCATTTAGCAGAATTTTACTGGATCATTAAGCTCTGCTTCTATCAACGTTCTGCACAAATTTGATCTCAGTGTTTCACGCTTCCTGATACCGTCACAAAAGCATTAGCTCCAGGTAGCACTGGGTGGCCTTATATGAAATGCATACAGGGTGGAGAAAGAATCTGAGGACAGAGTCTGACAAAGTCCTTTACTTTTCATGGAGAAATAGGGAACACAGCGGAGAGCAGCTCCCAGGAAACTATATGAGCAAGTGAGCCAGTGCTCATTTTACTGGTAGAGCTGGTCACTTCACCATAGCTATGCCTAGAAATATGCTTTTATCAATAGCTGAAAATACTCAAGTTCGCATTTAAATGACTCACATTAGTGTCTCTACTGCTCCTGTACTATGTCACGAGGTCATTTATTGCACATGTTAATGACCCCTTGGGTGAGAGAGCGGTTTCTGGAGTCCAACCCACACTCCTCTTTATTCAGTCCCTGTGCATGCCCTAGGTTTTCGCCCTTGTCACTTATTTTATTCTGAATCCAAACACTGCTACGCAATGCACTTGACCTTTGCTCCGCAGGGAACACACTTGGGATGAAGGAAGAATTCACTCTTTATTCCTTTCTAATTCTAGTTGTTGCTATACCATCGTGGACAAATCCCCACTTACACAATAGAAATCAAGTCATCTGTTCTCACTAGTTCTGGGACTTTTGACAGTGGTTTCTCCTTCTGCCATGGATGGTCCAGCTTTTACCCAAGACAATTTTTCACTTGCTACATCTGTCCTGATTAACCCTTATTATGGCCACTATATCCTATTTCCTTAACAGTCCTGACCCAGCCTCCTTTGACAGATACTTAATTGAAAAGCCATACTGCCTAAGGTTTCTTTTCTGGTCAGCAGTAGGTTCTGTCCCTCTAAGATATGAACAATTCTCAAAAGGTGCTTCCAGAGTCTCTAATAGGATTCCCAAAGCACTCTCCAYGCTCTTCACTGGTTCATACGGTGCGATTCAGACTGGAAAAAGCCACATCATTTCACTAAAGCCAGTAGAGCTCTTCCAGTTTAAAGGTGCTCTGTCTTGAGCTGAAGGGCAAAGATGAATGAGATAGGGAAAAAATGTTTTTTTTTTCCAATAGAGATTTGTCCTCTGCATTTCAAATATACACCAAAATGTGGAGGAAGAGAGGGGGAATGTTTTCTTTGCACCTTTTTTTTTGTTTTTATATCAGCTTTTATAAGAAATTCAGTGAAATCTTCAGATTTCTTTACTTTTGGAATCCTCCATCCCTGATTTCACGGACTGAGCTGGCTTAGACAAGCTGTTRTGCAACATACCTCGCTCTCAATCTAGCAGTTGTACGCAGACAACATATTGATCCCATGATATACTTGTGYTTTCTCTCTATGTGCATCTCCCAGACCTTGGTGGTTGGGTCACAACTGTTCTCAGAAATCTTGACAGTACAGATACAAAAGGCAGGGTTGGCTCCCTCATGTACAGTGATACCCTTGTCTGCTCCAGGTTCCTTTTATGTTAACGATTCCACTGACTAATTTTTGTGATGAGTTATGGCCTTGGAGACCCATACATGGACTAAGACTCATTTTACTAAGAGCATGGCAAATTCTGAATGTGGAGATGACTCCTAGGTCAAAGAGCCACCTCAATGCATAGCTAAAGGGAGCAGACAGGAGATCAGATGAAAAATAAAAGCTCAACCAAAGGTGACAATAGCAGGCATGGTAAGCACACCTACAGAATGACCACTGTCACAGTTTCTTAGAAGGCACCCAAACAAATAAGAGTTTTGGAAAGGATTGCAAGAGAACAGTGAGGGAGGAGTGAGGATGTTTATATGGAAGTCTTCAAGTCTTCCAGAACTTACCATTGTCTACAGCAGATGGAAAGGAGGGTGGGCAAGTTCCAGGTATCAGCCCATGACCTGGGCCATTCCACCTTCATTAAATCACACTGTGAAAAACTTCATGCCCTCCTTAGCCTTCCTGGTTAGCTGTCCATCATCTACATGGGACACCTCAAGGGAGATTGAACTGGAGCCAAAACACTTAACCCTCTGAAAGACCAGACTCTGTTTTCCCAGACAGTCAGAGAACAGCCTCCTTCAGCTACAAGCATTTATTCATCCCTTCTTTCTCTTTTTTTTCTCTCCTGTTATGTTAACAGAGCATCTAATGTGACTAAATAGGACAACCTGCTCTCCCATCCCCATGAAAAATAAATGATGTGCTTTCTTTTGACTACTTTCCCCCGCCTCCTAGTGCTTTTCCCACCAGGCAACTCCTGGACCACCCTCTCTTGGGCAGACCACAGTGGCCTGAGAACATCCCCCAGCTACACCAAGGCATTGGGAATCGTTGGCTTGAGCCAGTGGGGTGAGGTGGAGGCAGGAGTTTGGGGGGAATGGGAAGAGGGTGGGAAGGAGGAAGCAGGGTGCATGTGTGTGTGTGTGTATGTGTACGTGGGGGTGGAATCCGTGTGCAGAAATCAGCCAAGTGGCAGCTTACCCTGTTAAATATTAATCATCTCTGCTTCTGCAATTTCGGCAATGCGTCTAGGCCCACCACTGCTGAATATTTCATTAACACCACTCACTTCCAACTGCACTTCTCCCACTTTTTTTTTTCTCCCGTAGACCCCTCTCCCATCTCTGCCCCTACTTCTTCCTCTCCCATTGCCAGTGCCAGCTATGGCCATGCCACCCACTCTCTAACCCCACAAACCCAACCCCCAGCGGTGAGCACCAAGCCAGCCTTGCTCCATCCACACGCCAGTGACCGTGGCGTCTACGTGGGGAGAGAGCGCCGAGGCTGCTAAGGGGAAGGAAGATCATCAACTCCACTGGGAAAAAAATATAAGTGCGCATCAACAAGTCCGGTGCTCAATAATACATGAGGCAGGTCAGGGCAGAAATGCTGACTCTGGGCTGGGAGCTTTCTGAACCACGTAGCCTATGTTTCTTCATCGCTGGCTTGCTCCGGGTGAGCACTTTGGGAGTGCAGTCAAACGTCAGGTGAGCAGCGAGGGGCCCTGAGCAATTTTCTCTTCAAGCTCCTAATTGCAACTTCCCCTCTGCCTGTTTCCAGCCCCTGGCAGGAGAAGAGCCCATGTGGCCGGTGGCACCTCGGTAGCTGGGACCGGCAGGGGCATTGGCAGGACCTGTGACTGAAGGACTGTGCAATAGTTGCAAGGGTCCCACAAGGCAACCTAAGCTGACCAATGTGAGACTATGCACTGGTGGTGCTCCAGTCTGGACTTGGTGGCTCTGTATACAAATTGAACACTGTATTCTACATTTCCAGATTAGTTTCAAGTCGAAGCAGTAGTGGTGTGGCATGAAAGCTTGATAACATCTCAGGAARGGGGACAGTCTGAGTGCGGGGTCCAAGTCCCTTAGCTGAGTTTGTCCCACCTCCCACCCTCTACCCACCACAAACCTGAACCTCCTTCCTCCACTCATCTTTATTGACACCAGCGGCTATTATCCAGCTCTCCCTACTCCAAGCCCTGCTTTCCCATCCATATTTCACTCTTTCTTTCCTCTGTCCTCAAGCCTTATTCCTCTTTCTTTGAATCTTGACTTTTATTTTAAAACTTAAACCAAATCAATCACTGGAAGGTTTAGGTTGACCTTTGAACTTGTAGACAGGGAAGCGTTTCAATGAATGAAGTGTTTCTAAGACAGGTCAGATGAGACCCTTTTCTCTCTACTAGTCTGAGGTYGCTAATGTGGATTGGGGTGTCTAATTTTCAGATAAGTCCTAAGAAGTGAAGCAAACCACCCCAAGGCCATAAGCCTTGATAAAAAGAGACCAAAAAGATCAAAGTTGTTATGGCTGAGGCAAGTGGAAGGCAGCTGCAGCTTGCCCGCCATTGCTTTTAGCTGGACTAAGATCAGCTGGACGCAAAACTAAGTTAGCCGCTACGTTACATGTATCAATGTCATAAATTATGTTAAATGACAGAGTCAGCTACCTACCTAATAAAAATGCAGTCTGTTGTTTTTTGGTGGTGGCYGTTCCTCTTCCAGTTAAAGTGCAAGTCCAAGGCAGGTTTTAATGGTGTTATCTGCCAAGAAAGAAAAAAAGAAATCAATAGATGGGAATGCCTTAAGACCATGGTGTGCTTGTTGCAAGAGAGGATTTTCTATGCAAATCTCATTGGGAGACCAAGGCATTCTTTTGCGTAAATATTAAATAAAATGTGCACTACAAAAGTCACTTGAAAATATTGAATGAGATAACTCCATGTGATTAACATAGTATGCTTTCTTTCCCCCTTTTTATTAAAAATTCACAAGGCTTCCCATCCCTTATCTCAATTAAGCAACTTGTTTGTCAGGATTATTTGTTACGCATTTTCATAAACATTTGATGAATTATATGCAAACATCTCACTAATGTATTAACAAGGCTGAGGTTTTAATTACACAACACTCAAGGAAAGCGGGCTTAAGGCTCCTCCAGTGAAGTTAATTGTGCTTCCTTTTGTGTCTGTACATTGCAACAGGATTTTTCCTCTGGGAGAAGTCATGTAGCAGTCTGCAGTGGCAACACACTGGCCTAGACTATCCTCTAGCAGAAGCTTGGTGAGCTATTTCTCCACACTTGGAACTGTCCAGAACAGAGCAGAGAACTGGTCATAGTTAGCCTTTGGTTGGCTTAGGTGATCCTGCATCAAGAAGCAATCACTGTCACTTCTGCTAAGATAAACATTAAGTACTGAGTTTACCTTTGTTTTTTTTCTTGAAGATGGCAAGAGGAGACGTCAAGGAAGATGAAGTGGAGGATGACAGGAAGGAAGGGAGACCAAGGAGCAGCTCACACTGCCCAGAGCAATGTGCAGAGGGTTGTCTCACATGTTCAGGAGAGAGATTTTCCCCTTTGGCTCTCCCCACAGTGAATGCCTCCTCTCCCTAGCCCAGACTTAAGAGAAACCTCTGCACAAATCTTCATTCCCTGCTTCTTTGTCATCTCCATTCTGTAATTCATTTACTTCATTTGAATGTTCCTAAACAGTTCATCAGTGCTTACACTGCCCCTCTTACTAAAGGTTTCAGCTACACTCAGCTCCCTGATTGGAGCTATTAGAAAACCTCAGCACTCATGTTTTCATTCTAAAAATGCCAAAGCCAAAATTGAAACATTTTCGCAAATGCCAAAGCCAAAATTGAAACATTTTCGCAATTCCATATTTCAACTGGATTAAAAAAAAAACAAACTAAAAATAATTTAGAAATCTCTGAAATTTCACTGTGAAATGAAATAAGATTTTTTAGTCTAAGGAATGCAACAGCATTATTTACTCTCTGTGATTTCTCTGTGCAGATCCCATTAGATGTTAGAACTAATGACATGCCATGACATATTTTGACATTATAAGGCAGTCAATTCTATTATTTCTTCTATTTCTTAATGAAATTGTTTAACATATGATTTTATTTTCCATTCTTCATGTTTCATAAGTTGCAATATTTGCAGCTTTTGATATCCTTATTTTAGCCAGGACATATTTTCGGATTTTTTTCCCTAAAATCAGATGGTGTTTAATTAGCACTGAGCCCTTATCTCTTTCTCTATTTTGAAAGCATTAGAACATCAAATGCTTCATTAGGCTAGCAAATGTTACTGTCTTTGGTTAATAAAGCAGAGTGAGTGTGTAATGCTAATTAGAGTATTAGCCATTAATTATTGCATCATTTATTTTGTGACATATAACCAATAACGTGTCTTAAAGRACTTGTTCTACATGTTATCCCATTCCACTGCACATTTGTCATGATACCATACTGTTTAATTTAATTACAACATTAAATTAAAGTGAGAAAATTATAATGGGGGATTAAAGAAATGGGGAAAAAAATTAGTTCATGACTTACATTCTCTGGAAAGCGAGACTCCCTTCTTCCCTTATGAGTATAACAAAGGCAAGGTCCAAAATGCCAGATTTCCCCTAGGGAAAAAAAAAAAAAAAAAAAAAAAAAAGAAAAGATTTTTAACCTCACTGGTGCTGATATCACCAGTTTTACCAGTACAGAGATGCTTTCTTTACCCATCAAAGTCCTCGAGCCTCCATCTACCCTACAGTTGGGATCTTGAGAGGAAGAGAGGGAAAAAATCTATCCGGTCATCTAATGCACCCCTTCCGATCCTTCGCTGTCCCCCTGACAYGGGAATTCACCATTCCCCTCTGGGAAAGCCAATTTCCACCTAGCCATGAGCTGTATTTTTTTTTTTTTTGCACTCCCCTAGTACATCCGTGGTAGCCAGTGAATACAAATCAAGGCAATAGGATCAGTATTTTCATTACATTTAAACCTAATGGGCTTTTTTAATATTCAGAATCAAAGGCGCTTCACCACCAGTAGATATTTTTATACATATTTAAAGAAAAAGGAGCACTGCATCTCATTCCCCTCTTTCGCACTCCTCCTTTCTCCTCCTCCATTTTCCTCTTATTATTATCATTACTATTATTATTTTTATTCTATTTTTATTTTATTTTTAGCCAGCCTAATCCACCTGGGAAGGGCCGTGCTGATAAACAGATGCCACTCGCAGACGTTCTGGGAGGCCTTCACATCATTAGACGCGGGTGAACTTTGAACCGGGGATTGGGAGGCTCCGGGCGCCGGCGAGGATGAGGCCGGGCTCGCGGAGTGGGGGGAGTTTGACGGGACCTCTCTGGTGGATTGCTGCCCTACCCAGCACAGGAACGCTCAGGACTTCAAATCGGCTCCAGTCACTTTGAAGCTCCTCTCTCTTAATCTCTCTCTTTCTCTCCCCCTATCTCTCTCTCTCCCTCGCCCTGTCTTTTCCCCCCTTGCATCTATGAATCATTCATGTCTCCTTTTTCCCCTCAGAGGTTCCTTAAAAAAAAAAAGAAAAAGAAGAAAAAGGGAGAAAAAAAATACACACACACACACACACTCACAAAAAGCCCTGCCTGTGTTTATGTTCTTATTGCTCTGTGTAGCTTATTATCACCAATGTTGAACAAATTACTTACATGATGTTTGCACTGTGCTGCCAGCCCTCAGAGTGATGCTTTTGATGGGGCTGACTATTTTGTTTTAAATGTTAATGTACAGCAGGGCAATRTGTTAAATGTAAATACACGGTGAATATTATTTATGTGGTGCATTGAAAAGAGCTTGGTCCTAGCCTTGGAGCTGTCAAATGCTGAGGTGCGTGGGCATTTTCCAAAGAAAAGGAGCCAAAGACTAACATTCATACTGAATTCAGATTTGGGTGGGAAAGATGCTTTTGGTTTTATATAGGAACATGCATACCTTTAGAAGAGGTTCAGGCCTTTGGAAAGAGTATATGAATTTAATGATAGCCTCGGAGTTCCAGATTATCATTCAGCTCAGGTGATCATCCCTTCTCYATCTCAGAACTAAGCAATGGAGGGAGGGAGATGATCTTGGGACCAAGATCTAGTCCTGGAATTGGGGTACTTGGAAGACATYTCCAGCACAGCTGCTGTGATCCATAAGCAGGTCAATTCACAGGCTTGATTGCCCCAAAACAGTATTCAACAGTCGGGCCAGAAACTTAGGAAGCAAATATTCCCAGAGCTGAGCCTAGCCCTTGAATCTTGAAAATCAGACACTCTGTCTTTCAGAATATATCTCTGCTACCAGATAAACCCAGGAAAGGATCAGTCCCTGTCCTGAGAAAGAGTGTCATAGCATGGTTACACTCCTGGCTTCCCACAAACATGATAGTTAAACCTGAACTGCCTGTAGGGAGCAGCACCTGGCTTAGGCCAACTCTGTTTGTGCCTTGTCTTGAAATGTGCCAACAGGCAAGAGGTAAAACTGAGCCAATAAACCCACTAAGAACTACACAGCCTGCAGGGACAGGGGAAATGTAGAGCAGAGGCAGCATGGACACCCACACTGCTTCCTTGGTAGCTTGCTCATTGACTTGCTTCAAATGACTTCAGCTGTTTCTCTTGCAGATGATCAGCATGGAACAGCAATATTTTGTCCTTGTTTTATTCTGGATCTTCTTGAAGAAAAACATTCCTTTATCACAAGCAGCAAAGCACCAAGTGTAGGAAAATACTGACCCAGCTCCCCATTCAGGAGGCATTGGTTTATCTTTGTGTGCAAGGATGGACAGAGCAAGACTGGAGGTTTTCAGGCAAAGATATGATCCTAGAGGATTCTCCACTGTGAAAAGAAGTGTTTCTGCATAGAAGTACATYTCTGCAAGGACTTTGGGTACAAACTTGAAGTGGTGAAAAGCCATCATGTATTCACTAGGATAGAGGTCTGCAAGACCACATTGGGGGATGGCTTCTCTCTCTCGGCTGAGAGGAGCCCACGATGTGCTCCCATAGCTTAACATTAAGCTGAAAGGGAAAAGAAAAGTAACAAAATCCATTTTCTGGATGGATTTTCACAGGGAGGGATGGAGACTGTGTGCTTTCCTCCAGAGGATGGGACATCTCCATCGGTGAGCCCCAAGGGCTGAACAACCTCACTGTTTCTGAATAGATGAGCAGTGATGCCGCTACAGTAGCGAGGAARTGGTGCTGTTTTCAGAGGTATCCCTTGGGATTACTACTGCCAACAACACGTAGCTGATGGATCTTGGTCATTGCAGTGTCTGTGGGTTTCCTTTGCCACCTGCTGTTGCAACAAATATATTTGCAGTGAATTGTACTAATGCTCCTGAACAAGCTTGAGCTTGGGCATTCACAGAGATGCAGCAGAGACAAATCTGCTCATTAGCTGCTGCTCACATCACTGAAGAGTTTGAATAGTTCAGACCTACTGCAAACAGCCAGCTTTCCAAAGCACTGAACAAATACTGACTGCCATTCTGCAAGACTTGTTCATAACCCAATATGAGGAAATGCTCACAGCCTCATGTCACTGACTTACTGCTCTCCTTTCTTGCAAGTCTAACTCTGAGTCCATGCAAAAGGCCATCACCTGCTATTGAAACATCAGGAGGACATCTCCAGTTCTCAAAGCAATAAGACTCCCAGGATGGGTTATCCTTCATCCAAAAGATGGGAAACCGATGCATGTAAGGTGCATATGATTTGCTCAATCCCTTCTAGATAGTTAGTGGGCGAATGAGAAGACCATCAGCTCCAAAGCCCAGGGCCATACTACAAAGTCACGAATAGGGACTTCACTGCTTTTGGAAGGAAATTCCATGAGGATACCCATTTCTTTCTGAGATCTTGGAAGGTCTCAGTAGAGTGATATGGGATTAAAGTTCTTGGATGAGGATCTTGAAATACAGGCAGCTTGGTGTGCCACGTCTTTCCCCCGACACCTAGACTTKGCAGCAATAAAGCTGATGCACTTAAGCATCCAGCTTACCTCAAGCTTTCAGCTTCTAACACTGGGGGAGCTTTGCAGCTATTTGTTAATGATGTCTCTGAAGAGGGAACAGAGCATTTGCTGTCACCATGTGCCTCCCCATCACTTCTAGGATCCTGAAGGGCAGGTTGATGCCGTCCCATTTCTAGACTGAAGCACAGTCTGGGTTAAGTGGTTTATCCATCTCGACACAAATCCCTGGGTGAGCTGAGACTTGAACCTGCGGCTCCTGCTCTGAGCATGTCCCTTTATCATATTTCTGGGCCATGTGCTGGGAGGTGCCAGGACAGGTCACATAGTCATGCAGACAGAGATTCTTCCAGCCTCCCTGCAAATCTCAGGTTTTGGGATAACACAGTTTGCACAGCCCAAGCAGGGACTCCTGCATTCCCACTGTCTGCACAGACCTCAAAAGCAAAATCTTCTTCCAGCCCAGCAGAGGCAGCACCATACACAGAGGCTTTATTAAATGGGATATATGACCTATTTAATATGTAAAAAATAAACAGTATTAATAATAAATATTTAGGGCTCATTCAGGCTGTTCTTGTATAGCTCTGCTATACACTGTTTACCATTGATTTAATTTCCCAGGAAAATATTTCTACTGATGAGATGTTTTGTACATCCCCTTTTTTTTCCTAACACATAATCTAATACATTTTTTAAGAAGYTTAGGACAATAAGTCTTATTAGGACAAATGAGAGATCCTGTCCACCTGGCCAGCCAGAGTGTGTGATATGCGCATGTAAAATTTGCTCTCCCTCTCTCTCTGTCTTCTTGTCTGGTTTAAACCCTGAATCCCAAATATAAGAACTTGGCTCCCCAAAGAACAGCACAGAGAAGGAGGGATTTAAGAGGGGTGATTCATCAGGTAGCAGATTTAACCAAATCAAAGGCAGTGCTTATCCCCRCCACAAAAAAAGGCAGTAACTCACTGTCACAGAACAAGTCACAAGCTGAGAGAGGCCATGCACATTGGGGACACGCACCTATAAGGTCCAAGCAAACCTGCTGACGACAAGAGACACCCCAAACTCTCAGTTGCTGGGAGCTACAAAAACAGCTGTGGGAGGAGAATTGCTTCTAACTACGTTCCTTCATTCTAACTACGTTCCTTTATTCTTCCCTAAATAGCTGTGAGCTCTACCAGATACAGAGAAATGCRTCTGGCAGACCAGGGTGATTTAGTACCAGATCTCTTAGTTTCTCTCTCACTTTTGGGATGAATCATTTTGAAATTATTTTTGACACTGCACAGGCTGTAGGGGCTGAGCTTGCACATGAGGCATTCTTTGCAGGACCTATCTGAATCCGGAGACCATATCCTCCCTTCCTCTATCTCCACCCCAACAGAAGGGGTTACCAAACACTTGACACTGGGGAAYACATTGACTGCAGGCTAACAGAAAATGTGACCTGCAAGCAAATGTGAGGGAATCTGGCATTTTYAATACTTCTGATGACTTTGGTGGTGATGAAATGGGTGGATTAAACATTGGCAAGAGCAGTTGTATAGGGCCCAAATTACAGAGCCACAGTGCAGTTGCTTTCCTCCTGTCCTGGAGCAGCTCCTCTCTCTGCCCCTGT